GTCATTTAAAGGTTGACTTGAGGTAAAATAAAATTATTTATCTGGTAGAAAAACCTTCATTGACACTGCTGTTGTTGGCACAAATGTTGTTGCAGCTGTTGTTGGGGGTGTTGTTGTGTAGCTCTATTCAACAATAGAGGTTATTGTCCCGTCCAGTGACCCTTCTGCTTACCAAAACGACATTCAACATGTGCAATATTCGAAGGTTACCTACCTTGATTATTGGCATGTGATCTCTGAGATGTTGTGAAGGCAGATGGAGTAGATGGTTGAGAGATTTCCTTGTTTGCATGAGATTTGAGGCGTATCTCCTCAGCTAACAATTCATTAACCACATAATCTATAGAAGGAAGAGGACTACGATGTAAGATTGTACTACGAGGTCCCTTAAAATCATCACTTAGGGCAATAAAAATTGTACTAGTCATTGTTCTTCCTTTCAAGTGATATAAGGAGGAAATACTTGTAAATATGTCGATTCTGTGAATGTTATTTGATCTCATAAATCTGTCATATCAGAGCAAAACTCTTGAACACTTATACTTTTCTTTTGAAGGGCACGAATATTTGTTTCTAATTGATACAGTTTTGCAAAATTAGATTGCATGTACAACTAGCCAAGTTATCCCAAACTTCTTTAGCAGTATCGTACTTAGCTCGACTACACAATAAATAATTATTAATCCATGTGATAGTTTTCGAATTATCAAATTTCCAAATATCTAACAACTCTATATAATTGATAACATTATTATTTTTAGGTTTAACACAAGTTCCTGAAACATAATCCCACATCTTTTTGTCCTTCAAAAAATTTCTCATCGCATAACTCCATTAAGAGTAATTCTTTCCATTTAATTTCATTCTAATAGTGACTCTGATACCATATTGAATTAATAATTCAAAATATAGAGAGAAAAGTGAAAAGAATGATAGGGTTTATTGGATAATTGAATGAAGAAAATACAAGAAAAATAAGTTTTAAATAGAATGACTAATCTATCCATAAGATAAAACTAATATATTTAATAGTATGATACGTATGATATTATTCGATTCCTTTAATGATTAATTTACTGCTTGGATGTCTGGTGTTATCTTAAAAGAAGAGTGCTGATTTGGTTTTAAAATATGGTGTTTTACATGAGACATAAATACATGTGTTGATCTTTATGAACTTATGTCTAAATAGATACCAATGGTTATTACTTTTTATCATGTCGTTTCATCTCTAGAAATGAAAGATTGTATCTATTAATATTAAAACCAAATTCAATGTAGTAGTTATTTTAAGTTAGAATAATGCTATCTAGCACCAGTATATGTGATTACATTTGATATGTTCAATTAAATGATTCGTATTACATTGCATTGAAGTGAATTTATCATTTAATATCATGTATCGTCACCTAAACTGGTGCTCAATAATAATGATACTAAATAGCATTACCCTTTAAGTTAATTTGGTTGATAATTTGAAAATTAAAATGCACGTCTTTTGATCTTTGTGTCCATTGCATATTTTGACAATCGCAATTTACAATTTTCGAATTGTGAATATATGTGTATGCTCGTATGCATTATTTGTTGAATTTTACATATTATGCCTAAAGCATTATTAATGTACATGTATTAATGAATTTGATACGCTTCATTCAAATGAGTATGATTTATGCCAAATCTTTTTATTTCTTTATATATATTCACATTGGTATAAGGACATTGAAGGAGACTACAAGTTGGGGCCTTTTAGAGATTTTTGGAGAATGTATGGTTAAAAATAAAGAAATTTTTTTCGATTTACTTGTAATATTATTTTATTGAAAAATATGTAGTTGAAAATGAGATTTACAAAAATGAATTTTTGATTAAATGGGACTCAAAAAAGGGATAAAATGGCTTCTCTTCTCTAAAAGTGCATATGAGGTTTGCAATTGAAGTTCAAAAAACTTGGATCATTGCATCAATTGTGAACTGTTTTCGTAGATAGTTCCAGTAATATTGAATTATTATTGTATTGGCATGCCTATTAATTATTTACTGAAATGACATTGGGAAATGGTCTTTTTTCTACATGTCTTGATTTGAAACCCGATTAACATAGTGCAATTCACGAACTGAATCTGGTTCTATGTGTCGACCATGATATGACCAAATTAAAGTTAATTCAATCAAGTACATATTAGGTTGAAATGTCCTTAAATATGAAATTGTATGGACTTTCATGTGATATTGATATTCTTAGTTATTTATATGTTGACTAAAAGTAAAATAAAATTATTTATCGAATAGATAAACATAAATAATGACAAGATCGAACTTTTATATAGTTAAATGAATATTATGTTGCTAAGTTTTTATTCGGAATTGTGGGGAATAGGATTGTTGTTTGAATAATATTCTCAATTAAAGTTCAGATACATTCCAGAATTTGTGAGGGTGGCATCGTTTTCTTCAAATTAATATATTGATATATATGAAGAATGTTCAAAATGAAAAATTGCACTATGTGTACTCCTTGTTAAGTTTAAAACGCGTATGTTGTTGAAAATTGGATATTCAATGCAAAGATTCAAAATAGGTTTAAAACCTAAACTAATAGGTCAACTTAATGAAAACCTAACTTGGTGACTGAAAATCTCATGGATTAGGTTTAATAAGAAAACTAGTTATGAATGACTTGATGAAAAACACTTTAGAGTTTTAATTATTTCCCATTTCTATGATGAAAACAAGTGTTGCATACAAAAGATTCGTTAGGATAAGCTAAGCTTTTTTAATGATGTCTATGTCTTGTAAACAGTACAAGTGAAGTATTGTAGGGTATTTTTTTTAATAGAACATCACTTATATGAGTGCGAATTTGGCCGATTTACATGATAATTTTACCTAGGTGAATTTTCTAACATACTTACGGAACCCTAAAAGTTCAGGATTGAAATAATGAACATAATAGATAACCATAGTTTGCTATGAAATATAATATGTTTGATCTATTGTTTAGGCTTACAATAACGACCGACAATTCAAAACGTTGCATTCACCGATTAACCAAGTAAGTTCGATATATTCTTATTAAGGGAAAGTTTAAAGCGAAAGTTACCTATTCTGATGCATTATTTTTAGCGGTACTTTTCCTCGTCTTCCTTGTTTTGAGTCGACTTTCTGTTATTCATGTGGGGGATTGTTCGAATTTTCAAATATTATTTAACTATTAGAATATGTGAATTTAACATATTTCAAGAGCAAAATGTGCATAATAAAGAGACATGACTTTTTTCATAGGGTGCAATCTAGATCAACAATCATAAAATAGTGCTATCTAATGATTAAAATTAATCAGTGCCAAAAGATGCGATCATTGAAACAACACATTGAAATATATAAATAAGACCATCATAATTCCATTTTCTACCTTTCAAATTAATTCCAAATAATTGATTTCCAATTCTTTGTTTCTCCTAAATCGGTCAAAATGATTTTTAAGTTTTGTTTTTGATATTTTGGTATTTGATATCGCCCGATCTAAAAGAGTACGATCAAGATTTGGTTCATTTGAAAAAATTATTATTATTCTATATTAATTTTGAAAGAAGCGTATCTTGAGATATCAGTATTCGTTTGATCATGTTAACATCAGTGTAGAGACATAATTTGTTTTAAAGAGACTTTTATTCGTATGCCTCGCTTCATTTGATCTCATCTCATTGAATTTCTTTGATAAGTCGAAAATCTAAACGACATTTTATCAGTTTGTCGATATTATAGCGTATTTACACACACAACCATATCACAACCATATCCATAGTCATAGGTCCCCACCACCTCAAGCTGGCGGCTGGCCATAAGCTCATCATCTCAAGATCACCACCACCACATGATTCCTACACTGCAAGTCAACAACAAAAGCAAGTTCCCTATCATCTACTCACCACGACAAGCCGTCCATTATCAAAAGCTCCCAATATTGTTGAAATCACTCTTATGTCAAATCTGGACTAATTTGAACTCTGCAAGATTTGAATTCAAATTTTCTCATAATATAATCTCAACCCCAAATATTAGCAATTGATTTTAAAATAATATGAAACTGGTTATTCCACTGTAATTCATAATAATAAAGGTCTTGAACTATTTCAAGATCAGCACTTTTCTTACAAAGGATCTGCAATACTATTTTCCCATTAATGCCCATGAATTAGAAAATGCTTGATTAGAGAGTAATTTTTGGGATGCAATGGTGGTTATGTGGTAAGATAGAGGTAGAAGTCATTGGTTTTGTTTTTTTTCATTTTTTATTATTTCTTAGTTATTTATGTTTGAGGTTAAAATTAGCATTTTAAATCGTCCAATTCGTTAGTGGGGACTGTCGATACTAATTAATAAAGAATTGAGGACAACACAGCCAAGAAATGAAGGTTGAGGACACAACTGCAAATTATAGATTAGGGACAATGACTGCAAATTATCATTTCTTAAAATTGTAGATAATGCAAGTCCTCAGTCAACTTTTCTCATCTGTGAACAAAAAGTTGTCTGCGCGAGCATTCCATAATAATAATAATAATAGTCTATAAGGCTATAATCTCCTGCTTCGTACACAGCTTCTTTCTTATTAGCCTACTGCTTCTGCTACCGACTCACATCTCTCTCTCTCTCTCTGGCACACACAAGTATGTGTGTGTGTGTTCGCGCGTGTATTTTTGTGTATGCTCATTGCTCACTGTGTGTGAGGCTGGGAACCAATACGAAGGAAGTGATGGCTGGAGCTGGCTATGAATATTTTGAAATGAAGTTTAATTTCTGGGATTTAGAGGTGTATTGATAGCCTGAGCTAGGATGGTTAAATTTGGAGTTTTGTGGAATTTTTTATGTATTTGATGTTTCTTTCTGATGTGATATTCTGCTAAATCCTGTTCATTAATAAGCATCTGCTACTTAGATTTAATGCCTATCCATACATTCTAAATTTACTGAGGAGAACAAGCAATTGAATAAAAATGACTGGTGATCGGAGCAGTGGGATACATTTTAGTAGACTTTACTCATTTTCGTTAATGCGTTCCATTTTCAGAAATGAGCATAGCCAAATTGGGCAGAAAGGTTATTCGAGGGTTGTGTATTGCAATGATCCTAATAATCCAAAGCAGCTTCAGCTTAAGTATAGTAGTAATTATGTGTCTACGACGAAGTACACGGTGCTTACTTTTGTTCCCAAGTCGTTATTCGAGCAGTTTCGGAGGGTTGCAAACATTTATTTCCTTCTTGCAGCTCTTCTCTCGTTTAGTCCAATGGCACCTTATTCAGCTTCCAGTACTCTTGTTCCATTGTTGGTGATGATTTCAGCGACGATGATAAAGGAAGGGGTTGAAGATTGGAGGCGTATGAAGAAGGTTAGTAGTTTAATAGCATTGAATTCTTTGAATGCCTATTTTGCTCTTAAGTTTTTTCCCTTTTTTTATATGCTTGTCGTTCTATATATGAAGTTGATTTTCAGTGTAATAATTTTTGTTTTACTAATCATTTGTGTGCTTTTCCAAACTTATATCTACACAATATTTGGAATGATTAGTTCTGTATAGTACATTAGTACCAATAAAAATAGAAATACATTGTTTTACTCACAGAGATCAACAGAATATCAAGTTTTCACATTCTGTTCTCCAACAGTCACTGCCATAATCTTCAGTTAGTTAGAATTCAGGTTTATACTTCGCTGTTGTTTTTCAAAATGGTATGGGATGAAGTTGATCAAGAGAATTCCTTTGCTTATTTCATTTTAATCTTATTGCACTAAAATCTTTTCAGGATATTGAGGCTAATAATCGGAAAGTGAAAGTTTATGGTAGAAATCATAATTTTGAAGAAACCAGGTGGAAAAAACTACAAGTCGGTGATCTTGTCAAGGTAGACAAGGATGAATATTTTCCTGCAGATCTGTTTCTGCTTTCATCGAGCTATGAGGATGGGATTTGTTACGTTGAAACTACAAATCTAGATGGTGAGACTAATCTCAAGGTGAAGCATGCTTTAAACGCTACAGCTGGTCTGCATGATGACCATTCCTTTCTGCATTTCAAGGCATTGATCAAGTGTGAGGACCCAAATGAGGATCTTTATTCATTTGTTGGAACTCTGTGTTATGAAGGTCAGCAGCACCCACTTTCTCTACAACAGATTCTTTTAAGAGATTCTAAACTTCGGAATACAGGCTGTGTCTATGGTGTGGTTGTTTTTACCGGTCATGAAACAAAAGTTATGCAGAATGCTACAGATCCTCCTTCTAAGAGGAGTAAGATTGAGAGAAAGATGGATAAGATAATATATATCCTTTTTAGTACTTTGGTTTTAATATCATTTTTTGGTTCTATCTTTTTCGGGATTGAGACTAAGAATGACATTCGTGATGGGAAGTCAAAGAGGTGGTATCTCCGACCAGACAAATCAACTTTCTTATATGACCCAAAAAGAGCAGAACTGACTGCATTCTTTCATTTTTTGACTGGGCTTATGTTGTATGGATTTTTGCTACCAATATCATTGTACGTGTCCATTGAAATTGTAAAGGTTTTACAGGGTATATTCATTAATCAAGACCAAGATATGTATTATGAGGAAACTGATAAGCCAACACGTGCTCAAACATCTAATTTGAATGAGGAACTTGGTCAGGTAGATACTATACTCTCTGACAAGACTGGCACCCTGACATGCAACTCAATGGAGTTTGTTAAGTGTTCAATAGCGGGAATCAGTTATGGATGTGGTATGACAGAAGTAGAGAGGGCTATAGCTAAGAGAAAAGGGAATGTACTACCTGAGGTTGGATATACTTCCCCTGATATACAGAGCTTTAAAGATGTGTACATGGACTCCGGAAAATCATGCAAAGGTTTCAACTTTAAAGATGAGCGAGTTATGAATGGTAAATGGGTTCATGAATCTCATGCATATGTAATACAGAAGTTCTTTAGAGTTTTAGCTCTTTGCCATACAGCCATTTCGAACATCGACCAAGAAACAGGTGAAATATCATATGAGGCCGAGTCACCAGATGAAGCTGCTTTTGTCATAGCTGCAAGGGAGCTTGGCTTTCAGTTTTTTGAAAGGACGCAAACGACCATCTCTTTGCATGAATTAGATTATGAGAGTGGCCAAATAATTGACAGGTAAGGTTCTCTTAGTTCTATATCTCGTTTTGCTGGAAGTTCATACTTCATGATAATTTGTTAGTCAATACTAATAATACTTGTAGCCGCTACGATTTCTTCTCTCTTTTATATTTTTTCTTCTTATTCCTAGTTCGTGGTGGGGGCCAGACAGCTAACTCAAGCATCAAGAACTCAAGTTACCAATTATCCACCCATCTTACTCTTATGTGCCTCACTGCCTGTCGGAAAATTCCTGCCCAACCATTTGGAAAAGGGACCATCACATTCCTCATACTCCTACTCGGGTCCAATGCTACAACTATTATTTTAGTGCCAGAGCGAGTCTATCTTGTATATATGGTTGTTTTAGGAATTTACCTGTGCATTTGATATTGGTGTCACCAGTTTTCATCTAGCAGTTTGAAAATTTTGGCATGTCTCTGACATTCTTCACTTACAAATTCACTTCATCCTAAAGTTTTCAGCTTATCAGTTTTTGTTCACTATAAAAGGTTTCATTACTTCACGTAGATTATCATTCTTCCTGAAGTAACTGAGATGTGGCTCTACGAAAGCCTGGAAAACCGTTGTAGCATGCACAATGGGGGAAATTGACCAAGGAAAACTAACTCATAAACTAACTCATCTAGGAATTGTGAGTTGTTATATAATAATGAAAATATACAATAGATGGAAATTCATAGGTTACACATACGAAACACAACTTTGTTCTACGGAAAAGATGTGGTTTCAAGAGAACTTATATATATTTTCATGAAAAGAATTATATCAGATTTAGAATTTAATTCTGAGGCTGTATTGGGAATTTACCTGCATACAGTTTACTTGGCTATTAGAGTACTCCTAAGAGGCATCACATTTGCTAAATTTCAGTGGAGGATTGTACGTGGAAATGTAAGCTCTGTCCCCCTCACAATATGTTTTGACTTAGGGGTTTGGAACGGATCCACATCATATTCATTACTGAATATCTATATGGTTCAACGACCTCCTCCGTTCATTGCTTGACTTTGACAGATGACCTTTCAATACAATAGATCGTAGGGGAAGATAAGACAGATGCAACACTCATCTTGATAGATGTGAGACAGCAGATGATGTGGGAGGTGTGTTTCCCCAAAAAAAAAATAATCACAGAGAGATCGATAACTTTTACTTAGCCCAAGCAATGCGCTTCGAAGGGCATTGCTTCAGCACTTCAATCCATATAGTTTCCCCGACTTTGCCTGCCTGCTGCTTTGCTCCCCCTTACAAAGGAAAGTGGAAGACACTAAGAAGTGCTTCACATCCCTTTCAGGGCTTTGAGGTTTTAAACTTGGTTGCGCTCCTGTGATTGACAGATTCCAACGCAGATGAAGTACAGATATACTTTGCATTTATTATTCATTTTTTGCTGAATGCGGATATTTTTATTATTGTCCTTTTATGTGCCTTGCTCTTCAACGGCATGAGAATCACAATGAGCTGCAACTAGTTAAAAATATGCATCTAATTGTTTTTTAATCTCTATAATGGCAATGTATCTGACATGATTGCTCTTCCAGAACATACAAGCTTCTTCATGTCTTAGAGTTCAGCAGTGCTCGGAAAAGAATGTCTGTAATTGTAAAGAATGTTGAGAATCAACTGTTGCTCCTGTGCAAGGGCGCAGACAGGTTTCTATCCTCAACGCATTGCTGTTTGAGAAGTATCTGAATTCCAAACAAGTCCTTCGTTTTCAGTTGTTTGCAATCTTTCTATTGTGTGCAGTGTTATGTTCGAAAGGCTTGCAAAGGATGGACGAGTTTTTGAGGCTGCCACAAGGGATCATATTAAATACTATGCTGAAGCAGGTTTACGGACTTTAGTAGTTGCATACAGAGAGTTGGGTGAAGAAGAGTTTAAATCGTGGGAAGATGAGTTTCTGGATGCCCAGGCTTCAGTAACTGCTGATCGAGATGTATTGGTGGATGCAGCTTCTGATAAGATTGAAAGGGATTTGATTCTCCTTGGTGCTACAGCTGTAGAGGACAAACTGCAAAATGGGGTAAATATCAGACTTGCCTCCTTCAATTGTTCAGTTATTTTTTATCATGTCAACATCTTATTGGCATCTCATTTACCATGCAGTAATACCTGTTTGAATAATTACATTTTTTCATGTGAGTTCTTCAATAATGTTTCTGATCCACCGTTGTGTTTTGGTGTTAAGGTTCCCGAATGCATTGAAAAGCTTGCAAATGCTGGAATTAGGATTTGGGTTGTCACAGGTGATAAGATGGAGACAGCAATAAATATTGGGTATGACACTTGATTATTAAAACATTGCATTCTACTTCTCTTCTGTTACAAGCAAGCAGGTAAATTGTGCATTTTACAATTGTAATGTTACCACATTTCCTGCAGGTACGCTTCTAGCTTACTGAGACAGGATATGGAGCAAATTGTAATCACCTTAGATACTCCAGAGATAAATAACTTGGAAAAACAAGGTGATAAGGAGGCTATTGCAAAGGTACAAGATCCTACTGAATTTTTTAAGTGATGAAGTCTAGTTTAATACCATGTATTCTAAATGGAGAAGGATATCTTAGGCTTCAAGTGCAAGCATAACAAAGCAAATAAGAAAAGGAAAATCACAACTCAGTTCAGCAAAAGAAAGTCCTGTCTCTTTTGGTTTGATAATCGATGGGAAGTCATTATCTTTCGTTCTCGACAAGAATCTGGAGCATGCGTTTTTGGAGATTGCGATTAGTTGTGCATCTGTGATATGCTGCCGCTCCACACCTAAACAGAAAGCTCTTGTAAGTTTTATGCTCATGCTAATTTTTACATTTTAATGGAGCTTTCCGACTTTTGAACTTGTTCCATTTTAGATTTGCTGGCAATAAAATGACCTAATAAAACTGTTGAAGATATGCAGGTTACGAGATTGGTGAAAATGGGAACAGGCAAGACAACATTAGCAATTGGGGATGGGGCAAATGATGTAGGCATGCTTCAAGAGGCTGATATTGGGGTCGGGATCAGTGGCGTAGAAGGCATGCAGGTCTTTTCCGTCTAAATTTCATCCTTATTTTGTGACCTTTCACTTGTTTGCAGATTTTTAATCTGGATGATGATTGATGGGATTTTTTTTCTTGTTGATGGTTTAGAAAATATCTAAATTTTCCAATTTGTGGTTTAATTTTAAGATCCTATCCTGCTATGTCTAATTCACTGTACCAATTTTCATTGGAAGGGCAAGCATTGCATGTGCGACCAGTTAGTTTAGATGTGCAGTTTTTCTTTTCATTCTTGTCACTTAGGATGATAGTGTTGAACTTTCAACTTGCTTGCATTCTTTCTTCAGCAAATACTTCATGTTCTAGTATTGATTTTAATAATTTGCCAGCAGAAATGCAAAATTTTCGTGTTTGTGATGGAGGAAGCAAAAATAAAATGAAAAAGAATGTCTAAAATGAAGGAGGAAACAAAATGCTAAGTACTGATTAGAAAACATGTAGAAAGGTAAGGTTTAATAACTCGAAAAAATTGGGGAAGTTTCCGAAACCAATTGCTTAGCTTAATTTATAGATTCTGTCTCTCTACACTGGTATTCAGAATGTATTTATATATATTAAAGTACTTATGTCTTCTGCTTATTTCATGGCTGTCCAGGATACTGATGTCATGTCACTCCTGTCTCCCTTATTTATCTCATTCTATCTATCGTACTTCTGATTATTTTCTCCATTAACTATTGATGTTTTTCCCCTAGGGCCAGGGGTGGGAGGTGGGGTCACGGATAACTTCTTCTGATATCTATCGACTTTATTTTGATTTAGGCTGTGATGTCTGCTGATTTTGCCATAGCGCAGTTCAGGTTTCTCGAACGTCTTCTGTTGGTTCATGGCCACTGGTGTTATAGGCGAATATCTATGATGGTGAATTTCTCCTCTCTCTCTAATAAGCATTGCAAAGGACTTTTATCATATTCATCATCTATATTCAGAGGAAAGAATTTCTCTTCAGAGTTTAGTGTGTTGTCAATGTCTTATTTGTGTTCTTATTTTTTAATAAAAGAAGTATAATTCTAGCTCCAGTCCCTCTGCAACATCCTGTATCTTTGAATAAGCAATCGATCATGCTAAAGAAAAGATGACTAATAGCAGTTAATAGTTGACTTATTGACACTCTTCTTATTAACACATCTTTTCCTTGCCGAATGAAAGCAGGTATTCTACTTCTTCTACAAGAACATTGCTTTTGGGTTCACTCTATTCTGGTTTGAGGCATATGCTGCCTTCTCTGGCCAACCTGCTTATAACGATTGGTACATGTCACTCTACAATGTATTCTTCACTTCTCTTCCTGTGATTGCTCTTGGAGTTTTTGATCAGGATATCTCTGCTCAGCTTTGCCTTCAGGTAAACACAATGCTTAAAGGGCGGTATTACATTCTGTATACCTTCCTAAAATTAGAAGAGTGAAACATTGAAAGAATAAAAAAGTTCCACGAAGTACATGTTTAGTATGCAGTACTCGAAAATCTAGTAAAGTAGACAAGATTTCAGTTTCTGTGTCTTCCTTAATACTTTCCAATTTTAGTCCATTCTATGTCCTATTGGGTTTCTTTAATCCCTATGATTTATATAAACTAATGAGGATATGATGTTTTTCGCATGCATTTGACAGTATCCTTTGTTATACCAAGAAGGAGTGCATGGCATGCTCTTCAGTTGGATGCATATTCTCGGCTGGATGTTAAATGGTGTTATTAGTTCGATATTCATCTTCTTCTTCACCACCAACTCTGTCCTACATCAGGCTTTCCGTAGAGATGGCCATGTTGTTGATTTTGAGGTCCTTGGGGTTATGATGTATGTTTGTGTCATATGGACCGTGAACTGTCAAATGGCACTATCTATTAACTACTTCACCTGGATCCATCATTTCTTCATCTGGGGTAGCGTTGCCTTTTCTTATGTATTTCTACTGGTCTATGGTGCTATGTCGCCTATAATATCTACAACTGCCTACCAGGTTCTTGTGGAAGCCTGCGCTCCAAGTCCGTTTTATTGGATGGCAACACTTCTTGTTGTTGTTTCCACTTTATTACCGAATTTCATGTACAGGGCTTTTCAGATTCAGTTTCGTCCTACATACCGTGACATTATTCAAAGACGAAGCTTGGAAGGTTCGGAGACAAAATTCTGTGGATTTGAGACACGGAAGAGAACAGATCGCATGAAGGATAAATTGGGAGACCAAGAACCATTGCTGGCCCAATAAGTTTAACTTCTGCACATGCGGACTTGCCGAGTGAGATGGAGACAAAGGTACGGGAGAGATTTTCCCAGAAATTAATTTTTGAGGCTGTTGGTTACAGTCTCGAGTCTGTTAATGTAGGTTTGCTGGATAAATAGTAGGTATGTATTTCGAAGACTAATCACAGTGAATCGGGTAAAAATGGAATTTAGCTAAGAATAGAAACTATGCAATTTCTGTATTTGGTAGGACTTGGAATTCCAAGAAACCATAGCTAATACTTGATGAATTTATTCAAGTAATTGAATGTTCCTGACTAGGCATGTGTTGTAAACATGACATGTCAGTGAATAAATGAATATTCTCCAAGATTCTAGATGAGTCGATGAATCGTACCTATATCACCGATGCAATGGAGTTGGCACTGCAATACATGGCTAACCAAATGTAACGTTTAGCATGGGCGCAAATTACAGACTGATTAAATGGACATTACTGAAGGTGGTAGCATAGACAAATCATATTTTCTATCCTTCTGCTGGATGTTTCCTTATTGCTTTATTATTCACATCCTTTAATTGCTTTTATCTTGATTGGTTATGCTATTGCAATGCTATATTGGCTGGCAAGCTTGTTCATTGCAATAGCTTGAATTAAATAAAAGACTCGAGTCATCGTGTTGATTGTTGAGTATTCATTGTTACGAATCTACGAATCATTGATTTTATGTATTTTCAAGGGGCAAACTGTCACCTTGAAATTGTCTTGAGTTTCTAGAATCATGGTGCACGAAGAGGTTTGTGAATGCATATGCAAATTTTTTAAGATGGTGCAAAATGAATTAAGAGTTCATGCTGTAGGACTTCGTCGGGAACAAAGGCAATGTATCTCAATGTGCTTGGGTCGTGCATGGAAGATAAGTTTGACGACTGGTTAGTGTATTATACACTGTTATTTAAGTCCCAATACTAGGGTAAAATTGGATAAAGTGAGCTATTTTTATTCGATTTGTATTGTTTTCTTTAATTTTGTAGGTGTAAACCCCAGTTTATAGTTAATAGGAGCAAAGACAGTGATTTGGGCATTAAAAGAGTCAAAAGATGTTGATTTAAGAAGGCTGGGGACTTGTGGGGACTCCATTGGACGGAATTGAAAGTCAATTGTAAGATTTCATAAAGTTTGGAGAGTAAAATGACAGAACTCGAAAGTTTAAGGACCAAATTGGACGATTTCAGAAGTTGAAGGACCTAAATGTTGGAAGCAGAAAGAGTAGCGCTCAATTGTGCAACAAATAATAAAATGGCTTCGAGGCCACGAGTTACCGTTTGACTTTGAGGTTTTGCATATGTCCGCATTTTAGAACACTAGTTTGAGATCACAAAGTTGATTGAACTTTGATATCCAAATTACTGCCGGTCGCAAATTGTTCGTGGGGTGATTGAGGCCACAAATTGCTCGAGAATTACAGTTTGAGGCCTCAAAATTGAGCGAACTTTCAGGCACAAATTGCTCGAGAATTCGAACAAACTTGCAGGTGTTATTTCGCAACAAGTTTTTAGTATCGTTGCCTAATCGGAAAATATTTTATATTACTATTGCTTTAGTTTGTGTGTGTTGAACATTTTTTTTTTTTTTTTGCTTTATGAAGCTGATTTTTTTTTTCTTTCCATTGTTTGGAAGTCTTGATCTAGCAGTTATCGATCCAAAATTGAACGAACTTTCAGGCAGAGAAGTAAGAACAACAAGAAGCAAGAGAACAACGCGACTTGAATTGTTTTATATAAAACTTGAAAGAGTACTCTCTATACATTTCATACCATATTCCTATAGTTTCGATAACTCGATATAAGACTCGTTCTTTTCTCTGTTCATAGAAGAAGAGCTGATTGTGAGTTATAAAAATTTTATCTTGAAACTGTACAGTGTCAAAAGTACCACACGAAAAGAATACAACACGACTTTAAGAAAACGATTTTCACAACTCTCTTAGGCAAATATTTCTAGCTCTCTTCTCAATTTTGTGTTATTTTAACTTCTTGTTTTTAGTTTATATTCTATTACACAAATCAATTATTTTTCTCTAAACACATAGTTACATATTTTCGTTGTTCCATTTCCCTCTCCATCAATGTAACTTGAAGTCCGTACTATTCTTCGCTACGTAACAGCTTCCTTTACATCATTTGTAAATAAAGACTTAAGAGGTAATTAGACAAATACTTTTTTACTCATTTATAGTTTGAGCTATTAAATGAGACAAATGATGAAATTGCTTTCCCACCTAAAATGTGGGAAAGTAAATTCCAGGTCTGGCATTTTTTTTTTTTAACAATGGAAACAAATGTCATAATCAATTGTAAAAAAAAAAAAATTCAATTTAATGGACAATTTTCATATAAAACAAAGTCAAACGAACACTAAACTTGGATAAAAAATGATTTTCGTTTTTTTTTTGACTTTTTGGCAATGGAAACAAATTTTATAACTGATTGTGGAAAAAATTATCACTTTAATGGATAATTTTCATATAAAATAAAGTCAAACGAACATAAAATTTTAAAATTTTTTGGGTGAAACATTATATCAATCAAACACACTTAGCCCCTGTTTGGTACACATTAACATTTACATTCTTCTACTCATTTTCAACCACACATTTTTCAATAAAATAATATTTTTCATCGCATCAATAACTTTTCTTTCTTTTTCAACCACACATTCTCCATCAATTTACTATTCTAAAATAATGTGACTCAAGCACACCCTAAAGATAATTTTTGAATTTGAAAATTTTGCTTTGTCGATTTTGTCCTCGACGGTGAAAGATGCAACCGTCGATAGCGACGGTNGCAAAATAATTTCTAGGAAATCACTTTCTCTGAAATTCATTTTCTTTCCACCATTACAATCAAACGGACCTTAAATTCTTATTTCGAAAGAAATAATAAAAATAACATTCAATTCTTTGATAGAATTGTTAAACGAGATAATTCACCACACTTGTACGATTTGTTTGCACATAATTATAAACATCTTCAACAATTGTTTCTACTCATTATTGAAAGAACTTCAACAACTACAAAGGATGGTCAATTTTTCACTCGAAATTGGTACATTAGCACTAAAAATCGTCTTCTCTTTTTTCTCGACGATTGACTTATTACCTTTCGACTTATTTTTCCAGCCTCATTTCTTCGTATTGCCTCATTATTGAAAGAACTTCAACAACTACAAAGGATCGTCAATTTTTCACTCGAAATTGGTACATTAGCACTAAAAACCGTCTTCTCTTTTTTCTCGACGATTGACTTATTCCCTTTCGACTTATTTTTCCAGCCTCATTTCTTCGTATTGCCTAACATTTTCTTCTCATGCTTGGTCTCCGTCTTCATTGCTATCCTCATATATAATTATTTCCCACAATTGTCTTTGTCACCTACCAACCACCACATAACAGACTGGACATCTTGAGACTATTGTTTGTCTACAAAAAAAAATTATTATTTTAGTGTGAACTTATGATGTGATTCCCGTAACTAGACAACTATGTTAAGAAGTGATAAATGACCAACCCCACAAATAAAATAAAATAATAATAATAAAAAAAAATTGAATTATTTTTTGAATCATAATTTGTGTATACTTACGCATCATGCGTCACTTTAGAAATAATATATCTCTCCTTTTGATTTTTTCAAAAATTAAAATATGAATATATTGAAAATATTATATATGAATATGAGCTTGTTTGGGAGAGATTTTTGGGGGAAGAATTGATTTTGAATAGTGATATAATGAGAAATGTGTGGTTGAAAAAGAAGAAAAAATTATTGATGTGATGGAAAATATTATTTTATTGAAAAATGTGTGGTTGAAAATGAGAATTGATTTACTGTAAAAAAATTTAATTCTTAATCCCTCCCAAACAGGGCCATATGAATTGCAACTGAATGAAGGTGGTGGACCCTGAGTTGGATTGCGATCGTCAGGAAAAATATGTAGTTGGCTTTCAAGGTGGTTGTGAACGCATAGGACGATGACAAATTTACCTTGAATGTTGTAGGGCCTTTATATAGGCATCAAATAAAGACGTGATGAAAGATCCATAAAAGATGAATGGACAAGATTCATGAGTATTAAAATGATGTATAGTGAAATTTACCACATATAGTCATCTCTATTATAATGTAGGGACCGAGCTAGGTCCATTGCCTCAGAGGGCAATAAATTTGTGAAGATGATTGATCGGTGTCCAGATAGGTCTTCCGTTATTGGGGTTAATGGAGCTTTACCATGGCCACCCTCCAAAGAGGGAACATGGTCAATCTCGACTATCCTTCAACAACGAGACAAACGGAACCAACTCTATATTACCCAAAATCAAGCATGGAATTTACCCTAAATACACTATCTTGATTCCACCTCCTTGTCAAGCATGCTCCTGCATTAATTTCTCACGACGCTATAGGTTGCGTTATTATATTTTCCAATAAAGTTGATTGGGTATATATTGAATTTATTATAATTTTTTTAATTTTGCCATCCATTTTGATCCTCATTATTTCTAAAATATATTTTTTTTCTCATTTTTTTAATTTTGCTATCCATTTTGTTCCTTCTATATCTTTTTTTAAAATATTTTTAGAATTAATTCATTTGAATTTATTCATAATTATTTCAATGTGATGGTTATCTTTATTTAATATTTATTTTTTAATTCTAATAAAGTAATAAGTATTGATACAATAAATTAAAATTGTTTGTTAAAAACTCAAAAGTTAAGAATTTGAAAATTAGAAATTAAGAATAAATTAGCACTAATTTAACGATTTTAGTAATAGTATAGCTTCTAATTAAATAATTTAAAATAAGCTGATTGTTGAAAAATAAATAATAAGGAAGTATTGGAAATACTATTCATTAGGTGTAACCATTGGAGAGGTTACACCAAATTGCATCAAATTTGGTGAAATCATTGGATAT